CAGACACATAACCATGGTGTTAGCCAAATATTCATGTTCAGCAACAAAATAAAAAATCTATTTCTGTGATTTGAAAGGCAATTTATGTTTGTTGTTTTTAACATCATGTTTTTTGTTTCTTTGAAAATGCCAAACAATGTCTTTCAGAATTTAAAGGGAAAGCTAGGAAAATCATATCTTTATTAAAATGAAATATTTAAGATGAACACGATATAACAGTAATCCAGAAAGGTTTATCAAATCTAATATGGACTCATTGTGCCATTTCAAATATTGTTTTGCTTTTAGCCTACTCTCCTTCCAGATCTCTGTGGTTTTGAGAATATTGTATTTTCATTACTTCAAATCATATCGGTATTTGGTTCAATCACAGGTTGATCTCCTTTTTGGATTCAGGCAGACCACATTTTGACAGATGATAAAATTGAAAACTATAATGATACCAAAACATGAACAAAGACAATAGTTAACTACTGTATGCTGTTTCAGTGTTTAAGCGAAAAGGACAATTCTCTGGGTAACAGAAAACTGTAACAAAAGCTGTAAATGTATGAACTCTGTTGAAATATGGAATTTTTCAGTGCTATAAACTGTCATATTGTGGCGTTTTTAATCCTGCAATCTTTTTACTTTTCTACCAGTATTCAAAACAAATGCTTTTGATTGGAGAATACACTTTCTAAAAGACTATAATTATGATACTGAAAATATACCATTGGACTTCTTTTGTTATTCAACATGTAGGGCAATGTTGATGTCAGCATAACTACATAGAACCACTAAAGTACCTGTTTTAGACCTCAACTCCTTTCTGCCACCAATTTAGTTAGTGCGAATAAAACAATTCCTTGTATCCTCTAAAACTACAGCTATTTATTGTTTTTGTTGTTTTTGTTTTTCTTCATTTTGGTAGTGGAATGTTTTGTTTTCCAAACTGGAACGTTCCTGTCTTGCTTTTGGGATTTTTCAATTAACAGTGTGAGGCAGGAAAATAACTTTTCTTGAAGACATTTTGCCTGTGCTTCTGAGGTGTAAAAACTAATGGAAAGAGACAGTATAATATTCGTCAAGCATAGACACACACACTCACATCTGCATAGAGGTGTTTCATTTTTGTTATTAAATGCGCAGTCAGCTCATCTGAATCTCAGTGGAATAAAAATATGCAGCCATGCAGCATAATCTAGCCCTTTCATCAATTCCACACTTTCATTTTAATGTCTTTCTTCATGTCTCCATCTCTTTCAGTTTTTCTGTCACGAACTGAGACACAAAGGTTGTGGATCCAAATGAATTGATTGAACAGGGTAGCCTAATCCAAAGTAAGCAGGGTTAAACACGGTCCATACAAACAAATAAACACAACAAGGCAGGGAACAGTGTAATCCACAGAACAGGCAAGTCCAAAAACCAAGAGACATGAAACTAGGGAGAATGCTCGGAATTGCAGTTTAACATTAAACAAGACTTTGCAGATAATGAATGCGAAAACCAGGCAGGGGTGAGCTAAACAAGATAATGAGACACGGGTAAATGTGATAATGGATGATGAGTCCGGGCAGTGAGTTATGGGAGATGAAGCACTATACAAAATGGCGAGCTCATTATATAGTCCACTACTGTAGTGAGTAGTAGGAGATTTCGGACACAGCCTAAGTTACCTATATCACACTATTTGATGCCATTATAACGATCAATAATCTTGCATCCCATGTACTCCATCATATTGCTGAGATGATAATCCTCCGATCTGAAGTGAACGCGGAACAGGCACACGACCTCGTTTTTCGAAGCCGATGTGGAAGAGAAATCCCGTCCCTTCACCTGCAAGAAACGCACTTTTCTTGTTAGGAAACCTGTGGACTCAATGTCCTGAAAGGCCAGAGTTTTTGTAACCTCCAACACAATAATTTACCATGACGATGATAAATTAAAATACAAAAACTACACACACCGACTCAAACACACTGCTCTCACTAAATGCCAAAACCTATTTCTGCGGCGACCTTGTATGTGACCTCTGATGAGGCTTTTAAGGGATAATATTTGCCCCCTTAAATCGATGTTTCCAGTGCAATATTTTTTCTTTATAAAATAAATAATGCTTTAAATAAAAAATAATTCCAATAGAGAAATATGCAATATTTAAAAAAATTTAATCCGCCAGTAGGTGGCGGCAAGTCACCGTCTTTATGAGGGAGTCATTCAATGGCTGTGTCCGAAATCTCCCACTACTCACAATATATGGACTATATAGTGACCTCGCCATTTTGTAGTGCTGTCCGAATATAGTGATGATTATTATACCCTATATAGTCCACTCAATGTATCCCAGAATGCATTTTGAAAAGTAGTGTACAACCGATGGTCACTACCCCAAGACCTACATCCATCATGCATTGATGTCCGAAAGTAGTGTCCGAAAGTGGTGTTTCTATTATTCTGGTGAGTTCACTATATTTGCTCTACTCCCTACCCCCTACATAGGAGGTAGGGAGTAGTGGCTTAAGTGGAGATTTCGGCCACAGCCATTCAGTAACGAAGCAAGTGGCTGTTATTATGAATTAATCATTGACTCACGATTTGTTCAAACTTCAAAGCCGCAGATTCATTCACAAACACTGCTGTGTGCTGCAGTTCTGCTGGCTTTCGTTGGAGCTATAAAGTTTGGTTGCAAAAAATACTAACAATATTGTGTTTTAAATGAACATAACGTAATATTAATACGCTACCTATCGTTTATTGAACTGTTATGAAATCAATGTCGCATTTGAAATCAAAATGAATAAGTAATAAGCTATTTGTAGCTACCCAAATTTTGAGCCTACCTGAAATACACTCATTTTTTATGGTCGTCTCGCACTGAAGACTTGGAAGTGCTGTGAGCGGATAACAGTTTTGCATAATATAATGAGTTTCAACTCACCCATCGATGCACGTGGGGAAAATTATTTTGAAAACATCCAATGTTGCAAATGGCAACCGGAAAGATTCGCCCCAGAGTCCGTGTGTTGCACAATTCCTGTCAGATGCAACATAGACGGCACAGCGCCGTTCTTTACTCTTAATCGGTCTGCAAATCCAGTCTTGTTTACAAAACAATCCTCAGTGAAATGAAGCGAACAGACAGACAATGTTTTACCTCATCAGCTGGAGTGAAACGTCATTTAAATAAAGTTTATCCATGCAGTCCTTTTGGAATCCAGAGGAAGCTTATGCAGCGACTGTCTTCTTTTACAACCAGGCACTGCACAATATATTGTATCGCTCGGTAGCTCGATCCAGTGTGTCATCACGAGGTAGGCATCTGTGTTATTTAGCTATGCGTGTAACGCACGAATGGGTGGGCGGGGCTAAACCGCGTGTTGAAGTAGGCGTTGATCTTCTTCTGCAGGGGTGTTTTATCCTCTTTGACGTCATACTTCCCCACTTTGAAAAACCAGTCGTTTGCTGGGGCTGGTGTCAATAAAAGCTTTTATTGGACTAACAAGGACGTTTTTCAGTTCTGAATTTTATAGGATATTCTTAAAATATGGTGACCTCTTGTCAAAAGCTCAAGGAAATTTTGATTTCTCAGTTCATCACCCCTTTAAATAGATCTCTATGCTCAGAGATCTGCACAAACACGTGTCTGTCTATATTTGTTCTTTGTGCGAATGTGCGTGCAAGTGCTATTTCCCATACACAGTAAAAGAAAAGGACACAGCGACCCCATTGATTTCAACAGAGAAAATTAAAGCCTGTTAAAAGCTGATAGCCAGGCGTTCTGCGCCTGTCACGTGAGCAACCTGAATGTCTTTTGGTAGCTGTGCCGAGTGAAATCTGAATAATTCCCTTCCGAATCTCACAAAGACAGAGAGAGTGAGTATTAGCTGTCCATGAGCAGCAGGATCTAATTTATGACTTTCTATGGGCTTCTCCCTCAACTTTATCGGACTTATGCCTCCACGTCCCCTCAAACCACTGTGAGCTTCTCCGTCTATGGTAATTTCTCTACTGTGCGACAGAAAGTTAGGATTAACTGACGCAATCGTTAGCCCATTTTTACAAAAACTGCTTCTACGGGCCATAACATAAGATACAACATGGAGCCTTATATATTTTGTCGTGTTTGTTTTTTAGAAATAAGTAATGGACAAATGGAGTCTTTGGATGCCTCAGATGTAAAGTTATTCGCTGTCAGTGACGCCAAAATGAATGGGAGTCAATGGAATGCTAACAGCAGGTGAAGTTCTGCAACAATGGCTGTAAACCGCCACCTCCAACATCCTCGCAAGCAATAGCTGAGACTCCTTCTTTATGTGTATGTGACGTAATGACGCAAAGACGTGCTTGAAATCCACCAGTACCATGAGTTAAAAACATTATTTCAAGCTTACCACTTTGAATCGAGTGAAGACAAGCAGATATAGTTTTGAACACTGCTGGTTATGTATTTTCTCAAATATGTATTTTGGATAAATTTTAACCCAAAAAAGCTATGGACTGCAGCTTTAAAGATACTACAAAACTGAAAAAAAAAAAATTTAATTTTAAAATAAATTTTTTTATACATTTTTGTAAGTGTTTTGTATATTATTTTATATTCATTAATAGGCCTGTTAGTTTATATAATTATTGGCTTTCTCTTTTCGAATATCTGAGTTATTTATAGAAAAGACAAATTATTTATTTATTTATTTATTTTTGTTATGGTAGCCTATATTATAATTTTAATATTTTATTTAATATATTTTTTTGTTTATGAAATAAAGTTAAATAAAAATATATTTTTTAAATCTAATGAAATTGTGTAGCTATTGTTTTAAAATAGCCTAGTGACAATTTCTTCTTAATTTTAAAGTGGAACAGTTACTGTTAAAAACAAAATAAAAAACAATAAAGTCAGATCAATTTGTGTGACATGTTTTGCATGTCTTAAGAATCAGTGAACCGTCTAATCCAAATCCACTTCATGTCTGTGAAGCCCATATCAGAGTACATGTGTGACGCCATGTCTCCTGGTTTCGTGGTGAATGCAGTGATAAGAGGCGAGCTAGACGGGGTTTTAATCTAGATTGTCTTGAACTCTGCTTGCTAGGATTTGTTTGGGTCTGGAGTCTCAAGGAAACGCTTTATCGGAAGCGCGACACACACACACACACACACGCAGACAGTGCCTGTGCGCGGAATGCTCAGCGACTGACCACCACACGCTGTTTGTCTTTATTTTACATTTTCTTTGGCGGCGACAGAGCAAAACAAACAAACAAAAAAAAAAATACTGAGGACACCAGCCTCAGTGGATATGGCGGGTTCAAGCACGCTCGATGTGTTTGTGGGGATTGCTCTAGTTTTACACACTTTGGGAAGTGTTTTCCAGATCACCCGAGGAGAATTAACGGCGGAAGGTGAGTGTTCGTGGACTAGCCTATCATTTGTTTTTTATTTATGACAGGAGTTTGTTATGGCGATAGGAATGAGAAATTAGGTAACCTCACGACATGACCTAAAACGATAAGTTGCATATGTCTATTTTACTCATGTAGGCTATTAGGACTTGGCAATGGCATTATTAGAAAAAAACAGAATGCATTTTCATCCAAGAAAAAATTATACTTGTGCATTTTATAGTCTATAAGCTAAAAGCGTATAATGAGCTGTGCATATTCTTTTCACACTCATTGGCACTTTTAGTTTTTCTAAATATTTGGCGTGTGCTATTGATTCTTTTTATGTATAATAATCGCGATTCGTTACAATGAATAAGCTAATAATGGGGTTTAGCATGTGCTTTTGCTGTGCTGTTGTGATGTGCTGTTTGTAGGCTATGCTAGAGGCGATCAGCAGCTGTTTTCAGGTGGTATGTGAATTCGCTTCTTGCTGAAAGAATATGAGTGGGAAAATCTTTCAGTTTCTATTAAGTGGAGCGGGATTGTTTTCGTTGACATATAACTTGTTCATCATAGAAAAGCTATAGCCTACGGGTTCGCCTTCTGTATCGTTTCACACTGCGCAAGCTAGGTTATTTAAAACATGAAACACATGAGGATTCGACAGCCTGTAGTAGCCGAAACTATTATTCTTGTACACATTTAAGAGTAAAGTAGATTGCAGTAATTTACTCTCCCTCAAGTCATAAATTCCACGGTGGTTCCATGTTCCGACTTCACTTGAGCTCTTGCCTTTGTCTGTCTCCAAACGCATTCTCGAATTGAGATAGCTCACTAATATATTGAACAGGTAAAAAGAGATGTTGTAGCTACTAAATATCAGCACGTTTTTAGAACAACAGCAAAATCAGCATGGTGTGATATTCATTTTATAAAACAGTTCTAGCCTACTTAATAAAAGGTAATGCTGGTAAATTTACTTTACAGTACGTTTACTTTTCGCTATGCTAATTTGTTCCGAACGAAACCAGAACATTTGACGCGTCTGCGAGTATTAGTGGAGCCGCAGCAAATTCCTCTTCACTTTTAAAGGATTGTTTTCACTCCGCTCCGGCTCAACTCCACTCCAGGTTTCTCATTTCCGCTAAGAGAAACAGTAATAATGCAGCTGCTAGAACCTTGTTTTTGCTGTGGATCATTTTGCTAATTTACTTACATTTTTTCAGTTCTCCATTTCTGCAATATCAAGGTGCTTTGTACAAATTAACTTTTTGACAACACATTTTAAAATCACCACAAAATCAAAATTGACAATTCATAAATCCACACCACCGAAAATATCTCATTCATGATCGCAGTAATTAGAAATCGATAACTATCCAGTCCTGCCCTGAATATCTAGTTGTTCTAGAATCCATTCCTCCTGGATACACCTCACAGACGTCTCAATTTCTTTTTCATGCTGACTTTAATCACTCGGGTTACTTTTTCAAAATGTTTTTGTTAAATACTACCCTTAAATAAGTGCAATTAGTATAATAAAAATAAATAAACTTTTATTTTTTGTAATATAAAAATGAAATATTCTTCAATGCATGAGTCAAAACAGTAAATGCTCAAATTGGAAGTGGGATTTCCAAGTGCACTACAAGGCAGCATGATGTACATCACTCATGCCTCTTGGCCAATCAAATTAGAACTAACTGCTGTGTAAATGTGGTTTAATGTTCTTGTTTTTAAGGTATTACACCATAGGAGAGGTGGTTTAATATTCTTGTTTTTAATAAAGTTTTCAAAATTCAGAAACAGAACTCTGTGACCTAGTTTGTAGCCTACTTTACAGGGCTTGGCAGGATGGGAACTACATGTGAACTACAAAAAAATATAAACATTTCAGTCTAATGTCTCTCACATGTGTACCTTGAGTGTTGTGTTTGTGTTTTTTTATAGCGATTCCTTTATTTCTATTGATGGAGAAAAACAACAAAGTAGGTCAAGGGTACAACATTGCATAATCTTATATGTGAATCAGCCTTGTGTAGCTTGTGATAACCATTACCTTCCTGCCCCATACAGACACAGATCCTGAGGCTGAGTGAATGGTAAACGTGTTCAGACACTTATAAATGCCAAAACACACAGTCGAGTTCAAGTTGGTTGATAAAAACAGAGTCAACTCTCACAAAGATTTTTGTTTTTTCCCTAATGCTTGAAAGCTAAGACAGTGGTGGCTCGTCAGGGGAGGCAAGGGAGGCCCAGTCTAGCCAAAATTGTTAAGTACAATTTAATGTTTCATCAAGCTTAAATTATATGATATTAGGTTGAACTGTTACCCCTGAAACTATGGAGAGCAGATATATTGAAGATCTGATCGCAAACAAATTTACTAAACTACCATTCAAACAACAACTAAAAATTATAAATGAAGACCCCATGCCAACTTGGAAATAGGCTACAGCAGGCAGCTTCACTAAACGGCCAAACATGCTCTTTTAACACGGACATTTTTAAAGGACAGAAGAATGGATTTTCAACATGACATCATGACTTTTGCGTAAACATACACGCCACTTTCGAGTCAAGTGGCATGTTATCTCTACGCATTTTGAGCTATCCGCGTGTATGCGTGTATGTCTACGCCATTAATGTCCGAGTGATTCCGCGTGTCTGTACGCGCCATCAAATGTCCCAGCGAAACGAAGCAAAATGTAGATCTACATCTGGGGAGGGGAGCGATCTTTTTTTTCCTAGGATGGTAGGGGAACACTCATAAATGCCATTAACCCCAGTGACAGGTAGGGTTAGGGACGGGGTTGAGGTAAGTCATATATTTATATACAGTAATAACGTTAAGTCAACAGTGTTCATAAACATGCTGAAAAGCGATTATGCATCTTGATAGCACGCCAAAAATGGAAATACGAATTGCCGTGTCATACACATGCTACTTCATGAGATCAGTCTAGGATTTTGGATTATTGCTTCAAGTGATAGGCTAGGTAAGTGAACTTATATTTATATTGTCTTAATGTCTGTTGTTTTCTATAAATACGCCACCTCTATTTTACTACCCACCAGCCGCCACTGATTATAGATAAATTGAGCATCAAATCTTCCCCCAGAACACTAATTTGGGTTAAGATACCGTTGTTCTACGGGGTCAAAGGGATTGTGGCTGGCTCTCTTGGCAAAAAGTGAAGAAAGTCCTTTACTTAACAAGCATGGTTTTGAATTATAGTTATTAATATTTATTAAAAGTAGTATATTGCCCATCTGCTTCAGGAGAAACCGCTCTGATACTGCACAGATAAAGAAGAGATGGCGAGAATGCAGGGCCCCCACAAGTCTTAAGTAGTTCATCCAAAGGGTTGTGTTTAGATTTGTATTCAGTCTGTCTCTGTCACCCCCTCCCTTTGGCTCCTCTCCTTTTCTCTCTCTCTGCCCTCAATTTCTTCTCAGGGGTTATACTTTTTACTGTAGACTTTTTTTCTCATTAGTGAGCATGACAGTCATGAAAAAAGCCTTTATTTAGGCTAACGATCATTTTGAACCATGTTAAATGTCTCGTTGCAATATTTGAATCTGTGCTAAGATTTAAAAATCCATGTAAAGTTCAAGTCTGAAGTCTGAGTGTTTCTTGAAGGAAATCCGTTAGCTTCTTGAATTGCATTGCACTACTGGAGATTTTTTTACTGGTTGCAAAGGTCAAATTCTCACTGTGAAGTCTCATAGGGAGTGATATAGTTATGATATTTTATCATAACATTGAATCCAGAGGGCTGTAGACCACCCCAGAGCTTGGGCCATGCCTTTGGCCCTCGATTATTAATCTTTTACACCATGGCAGCAATAAAAGCTATATCTTGGCAGCCCAGACCCATCACATTGAGCAGTTTATGTCTGCTTGTACCCTGTAATGTTTTTTTTCTTACTTGTACCTTCACCAGCAGGTAGCTAAATCTCTTCATGTGCTCGAGTTTTAGTGATGTGCATCTCTTGTACACATAAAATGTCTGTCTCTCGACTCGTGGCCCAGATAAAGCATTATTTATAGAGTGTGCTGGCCATCTGCAGTGCTGTGTCAGAAAAGACTTTATTAATAGGAGTGAAGAGCTGGGTGTGTTTCTCTTGCTACCAACACAACAAAATTAATAGTTTGTTGCTTTTGGTGGAGCGAAGTGAGGTGGAAATTTATGTTCACACACAAACTTGAATATTTTCATTTGCAATGACGGTTTTTAATAGTTTTATTACATTTGATCACAAACCGCCTGAGAAAATCACATTTAGTGATTGTTGCAGTTTTAAGATCTCTTTTTCTGCCCACTTCTCAATAGAAAGTTAACATGCCAGCATATCGGGTTCAGCTAGTATCACATGATCCCATTGCGTTGCTTCATTGGCTGAAGTTTTGTGTGTAGTTCATGTCATTTTTAACTATAGGCTCTATTTCCAGAAGTCCATTTATTTAGGTGTCCAATGAGTCTGTTTACTGGACATGTACTGGCGATGAAAATGTTAATTTTAACCAGACATTAAACGTTTTCCTAGAAAGGTCATGTTATTAATTTATTCCTGCCACCCTGGAAGAATAAAGTAAGAATTTTAGAATTTATAAAATGTCAAGTGTTTACTTTAAGAGTTGTCCTTTAGCAACAGATAGTTGTGGTTGCTCCATCTGGACGTCATTAGAATTGGACATCCTTCCTGCATATTTTCCATCCCTCTCTCCTTTTCTGTAAATCTTTCGCCTAACAAGACTTCATTCTCACAAACCTGAGCCTGTTTGGACGGAGCCGGTGGGTGTGACTGATACGTGCGTGTATGAGACAGTGAGATGATGGAAGACAGCGTGAGGTCATCGGGTATTTTTCGTTTCCCTTAACTTGGCAAAGTTTAATATGAAACCCTCTCTGTCTCACGAACGCACACACACTAAGACAGAATTAGGCCTCCTGTGGCATCAAGTTAACTGACCATAGCACTGATGCACAGCCTGTTTCTAATACACAGCCTGG